CCCTAAATCCTAAACGTCCTAAACCCCAAATCCTAAACGTTCTTAACCCCAAACCCGCCAACCTAAACCAAACGTCCTAAACCCCAAACCCTAAAACCTAAACCCTAAACCCTAAACCCGAAACCCTAAACCCTAAACCCTAAACCCTAAACCCCAAACCCTAAATCCTAAACGTGTCCTCCGCGGAGAGCGCCTCTTTGAGCCGACCCAGACTGGCCTGCGGTGAGTGCAAAGGCAGCTGGGGGTTCGAAATTTAGGAGTTTCCGAAAATAGGGGGTACCTTACTTTTGGGGTCCTTATAATAAGGATCCTATTATTTAGGGTACTATATTAGGGTCCCCTATTTTCGGAAACCCCCATTTAGACCCTGAACACTGAAACTGTAGAGTTTAGGGTTTAGGGTCTAGGGTTTAGGGTCTAGGGTCTAAGGTCTAGGGTCTAGGGTTTAGGGTTTAGGGTTTATGGTTCAGGGCCCAGACTCTGAACACTGAAACTTTAGGGTTTAGGGTTTAGGGCCCAGACCCTGAACACTGAAACCCCCAATCTACACCCCATAAACCCAAAGACCGAAAGCATAAACCCAAAATCCGAGAGTAAAACATCAAACTAAAGCCGTGAAAACCACAAAATACAGAACACTACCTCAATTAACCCCAAAAACAAACAGACACACACACACACACTAAAAAAGAAGGAAGAAAACAACCTAAACCCTAAACCCACACACAAAAATCAACAAAAACCCCAGCGGAGGATCCCCAAACGGGCCACCGGACCCGGCGCATTGGCATCTCACCAAGTACCGCCGCTGGGGATGAAGGGTTTAGGGTTTAGGGTTTAGGGATGAAAAGACGAGGCTTCAACAAGGATGTAAGATTCAGGAATTCATTTCGAGTTTTATTTTGAATTTAGAGTTATTTGTAGGTTGTTTCGGGGTTTATAGTGCTGCTTAACTATGGTGTTTGAAGACGATTTATGAATGCTGTTTTTTTGGGGTGCTGTTCAAGGGCTCCCACCTGTTCCGCTAAGGGGTTCCCTCAAGGGTTCACTCAGGGGTTCCTTTGATGGTTTCCCTCGCGTGAATAATGCTTTCGGCCTAATGTTAAACGGCGCCCCTAAATAAAAATCAGAAAAGCGTGTTTACATGTTTTTTTAATTGTTAAAGGGTATATCCATCTCTATACACGCTGGGGAGGATCTTGTGGCATTTGCCCCTGCTGTTGCTCCTGCTCTGTCTCTTACACCCCTAACTCTATCTATTCTAAAAAGGCGGGCATGATTGCAGGGAATGTGTTGTGTTTTAGGGGGTTATTTCATAAATGGGGGAAGGGACTATGACTACGTTGTGCGTTTGTCCAGGGATTCGCCACGTGATCCACTTAAATTGAGGGTGGGATTTATGTGTTTTTTGCAGGGTTACATCGGGTCTTTTTTGGGGTTACCCGAGTTTGCTTCCTTCAGAAGTTCTATAGTGGTTCAAAAAGGGCTTATAAGGTTTTAGGGGTATTCCCAGAGATTCCAACACTTATCAAATAAGCAATATATACTGTATAGTTTATAAAGGTCCGACTTGGTGCAATTTAAAGCCCCAAATGGTCCCCAGTGCTCATATGGCGGATACTTCCCCGAACGCAAAAAAATCCTACTATAGAAATCCCTTCTTTGAATTATTTGGGATAGGACCCTTTGTCGGTACTACAGGGGCCGAAATAAGTACCAACATTATTCCTTACGGCTCCTTCTTATTGTATTTTACGTCAAAACAAACTCCCACGCCCCATACCCTAAACCCTAATCCCTAAACCGTAAACCCTAAACCCCTAAACCCTTACACCCTAAACCCGAATCCTGTTGACTACAGTAGAGACAGATACTAAGAACTCGTGGAAACGCTGGGATGTGGGGCACAGACCCCGGGCGCCCCAAACAGCCCAAAGTGGCATTTGGGGCTTAGGGTTAAGGTTTTGGGGGGTTTAGGGGTTTAGNNGTTTAGGGTTTAGGGTTCAGAAAAATCTACACTTTTTCGGGTTCATGATTATGAGGTCCTTGTATGAGTCCTTAAGTTGAGGTAGGCGCAGTATCATATGTAGACTCCGCCAGCACCGAAGTAGGTGCGATTTTGAGCCGTGGTGCGCTTGGGAGAGGCCTCTGAGGAGCGCTCCGATTCCAGAGGATAAGCAGCCGAGCCCCTAGACCCTAGACCCTAGACC